TCTCTCTGGCATTCCCTCAATGTTCTCAACACTTAAAAGCCAAATTGGAGGCATCTGTTTTTCCTGCTGAAACTTCCCACCTGGTTGTCGATGGCCCTTTCCAAACATCGGCCCAGGTTTGATCTCTCCCAGCCGCCTGGCCATCTGAGAAGGCCCCAGGAGAGACCGTGAACTCGGACTCTCAATATATCTCCCACTTGAACTTCCAAAGTTTATTTGGGAAAGACATTCTTCAGTTCTACCATTTTACTAGTAAATTTATTTTAGAAATTTTAAATAGTGAGATCCGAAGACACACGCTTACATTGACAACCTTTATCTCACAAATGAAGTGTAATATTTCATATAGGAACCATTTCTTCTATCATGTAAATGTACCCCCCCACACACACACACACACACACGAATAAAAGTTGCTTAGCGACAAGAAATGCGTCTTCCCCTTTCTCCATATGTCTTCTCAGTTTCCAGTATGTGGCGCTGGCCACCAAACGTGTTCAAGCAATCAACGAGTCACTTTCTGACTCAATACCCAGACATTTTTGGACTCTTGGGCACTTTAGGACAATGAGTTATAATAGCAAACATTCATATCGTGCTTGCTAAGTGACGGGACTTCTTTAAGCTTTACATATATTAACTTAGTGGTTCTCAAAGTGTGGTCTCTGGACCAGGAGCAGCAGCACCACCTGAAAACTTGTGAGAAATGCAAATTCTTGGGCCTTACCCTAGACTCACTGAATCAGAAACCCTGGGGATAGAATCCTACAACCTATGTTTTAACAAGCTCTCCAGGTGATTCTGACACACTTTGAGAACCAGTGGTTTAGATGAGGAAACTGAAATACAGAGATTAAGTAAGTTGCCTAAAGTCACACAGTTAGGAAGAGCTGATGTGAAACCCAAGCTATCTGGTTCCAGAGTCTGGATTCTTTACCATTATACTATATATACTTCCTCTCTCATGAAGAATGAGAAGTAGAGAGTGACCCAGCCCTGATGGCCTAGTGGTTAAAATTCAGCGCCCTCCATATCGGGGGCCTGGGTTCAGTATCCAGGCACAGAACCACACCACTTTTCTGTCAGTAGCCGTGCTGTGGCAGGGGCTCATATAGAAGAATTAGAAGGACTTACAACTAGAATATACAACTATGTACTAGGGTTTTGCAGAGGGAAAAAAAAAACGAGGAAGATCAGCAGCAGATGTTAGCTCAGGGCAAATCTTAACCAGCAAGAAGTGGAGAGTAAGCTGTGAGTGAGGGTAGATGAGGTTTTACCATGCTCAATGACCAAAAACATACCAAATTGCATTATACAAGAAGAAAAAAAGTATTGTCTGGCTTCTCAAATCAAGGACCATGGTGATGAGACCATAGGTTCATTCCCATGAGGTTACGTTGAGTTTACTGTGTTCTGTAGCTGCAGACAGCTTTCCAGCTCTAAGAAACTATTTTGTAAAAGTGAGCTTTGGTCACAACATCATATCCCTAAGTTTGGCTGATTCAAGAAAAATCAATCTCTGAAATGAAAAATAATTTGCTAGTATATAACTCTGAAAGGGTGCCAAATAAGCATCATATTTTCTGATACAACAATTGTCATTCATAATCATGATAACTACAAGGTTAAAATCAAATATGGACAGCTGTCAGTTGATGGGATGGACTGTGGTTTTATGGCCTGGGGGCTCAGTTAGGTCTCCGTTGTCAGTTTTCTAGCTCCCAGGAGAAGACAGGCATTTCATGACTCGAGCTGGGTCTGGGCACCACTCTGAGCTCATTGCCTCTGTCTAAAAATGGTTTGTCACCTACTTTGCCCCCTCAATGGGGCTGTGGGTAGGAAACTAGTCATAATAGTTAATGGCAGTGAAACGTTAGTGAGTTCTTAGAGACAGGGAGCAAGAGATTGACATAAAAAATGATCCTTGCTATGATGATTGAGAGAAAGGGCTGGGGTTGAGGGACAGAATAAAGGAAAGGAACAGAGAGAAGGCGGGGTCAGTGGGCTCCACTCCAGTCAGACTATAAACAGTAACAGACATTTCAGCCGTGTCTCGTGTAAGGGGCTCCATTGATTCACAAAGCTCCCCGACAGAGGGATGACGAGAAACTAAGACAGAAAGGGCCCATTCATTCATGCAGAACACCAGCTCTCCATCCCCATTGGCTCTTGTTAATGGCTCCAGGCTGATAAGGAGGAGGGGGAAGAGGCGGATGGGAGGAGGAGGTAGAAATGAAAGAAAATGATGACTACAAGATTGTCATGAAGAAATGTACAGCTGCAAGGCAATTGCATGCAAATGTGGCTTCCCTTTTTAGCTGTATAGTTAATGTCCTCAGATTCATTTCTCTTTCTCTTTCATGTCATCTTTCCCTCTGCTTCTTGCCTTGTCTTTTTCTGGGCTCCCCGTTTCTCCCCTTCCCATTCATCTTTTATATTCTCTTCCCAGTATTCACCACCTCTCTACTAAAATCCACTTATATCTCCTGTCCATTTCCACATATCTCTTCTTTCTTCCTCAGAACCCCTTTCACCAACTTTTCTGTCCAATTGATTCTTGACTCATCTTGGTTACTGAGTATTCTGTTCCACTCACCTGGTAAGGCTCTCCTCCCCCATTCATGTTTTCTCTCAGCTTTATTCTCTCCTGCCCCTCCCTTCCTCCACTCCTCTCCTCCTTCTCAGCCTCTGCCTCTTTGTGAACAGGAACAACATTCAGACAAAGGGGCCTAATCGTTTCTTGATGGCCCCTCCTGTTGGGTATTCCAGTCACTGACAGATGTGTAGTCCTTGGAAAAGGAGTTCATTCATCTCTTCTGAGAGCACAAACGTGAGACGGGAGCGGGGGTGGGGAGTGGCCATGAGACGGAGGACGGGAAGGAAACTGAAGTTATAAATAGGATAAAAGAAAATGAAAAAAATGTAGAGTATTTTTTTTCTCTCTTTCTTCTTACTCAACACATCTCCAAGGAAATGTACTGCAGCTGGAGAAATCATTGGTTGGTCCATGTCTTCATCTCCCTTCCCTATAACCCCAAGATTTCCTTCCAAAGAACACCCATCAGTGAGGAGGGCTGGACCACAGCCCAGAAATAATCGTTGCAACTCCTTCGTCTGGACAGCCCAAAAGGCGAAGGAGGGGCTGGAAAAGCTCAGGGTTGTTGCCGGATACTTCCATCAGAGGAAGCCTAGGACAGAAAGAACTACAGAACATCGCATTTCCCACCAAGCACCACTCCTTCATGGAGGCTTTCTAGCATTTCTGAGCTATAGCTGAGGGCAACCTAGGTTATTTTAGTACTGGTTATTATATGCCCCCATCTTACCATCCTACCCAAAAGCCACTAGTCTGGGTGACTCCAGCTTCCTTCTTCTTACAACAATGAAGTGGACTATGGGAAGAAGATTATATCATACCCTATAAGTCCTTGCATGTTAAAGCAGCTTCGTCTTGAGAGGCTGTTCACATGTGTCACAGACACTGTCCCATTGGCCCTGGGATAAAAACTCTTTTGCTTTTGAGAACATTGACAAGGAGGAGAATGAAAAATCATCTTCACTTGGGCATTTACCTACTTCTCAGCTAAAACAGAGAAGGACCATGTCTTTTTGCCATGAAGAAGAGACATTCTGATCTTGAGGCTATGGGTGAGTGTGGAGATGACCTCTGCTATTAAGATGTAACTTGCAGCAAGCAGAAGCACCATCCAGAGCTGAAAGTGTTAAGGCAAGTTAGCTTTAATCTCTGTTGCACTGGGAGATATAAGACTTAAGCCTAGTGGCATTAATAAGATTCAAGAGTTATACAAATATAGACATAACCATTTTGATCTTTTGCTTACAGAAATGAAATCTATTTTGTTTAGAATTTTTAAAAATCACTTTTTTCATCTCTTAAAATTTTAAGTCCTCAAGTCTAGCCTGTGAACAGGTGCAAAATCCTCCCTACCTCCTCAAGAAATGGGTAGATAGCCAAGACATTTGTATTTATGCTTGGAGGAGCTGAGATACCAAGCAGAAAGTGACAGCACAAATGTCATTATGTCTGAAATCCAGGGTGGTGCCAAAGGTACCTCAAAGATCAATGGCTACTGAGTCAAGAGAATATGGATCACAAGAATTGATTTCATTCTATCCTGTAGAAGAACCAGGCAACTGGAAAGCAACTCCCATGCCTTCCTCCCCAAGGCCCACCAAGTGCAACAGCATCTTGTTCTGTGTCTCTCTGGTCAAAGATAAAGTGTGGACAACAAAGCAAACATTATTTTATTTCTACACTATTATAACAGTAGCTTATCACACAGTTTTGTGGGGTAAAGAGACACCAAACAAAAAAATTGCACTTAAGTTAGATTCCAGTTTCTTTCCCCCTATGTAATTCCTGAGAATTACATATCTTCAATATGCAAGAGTAATGAAATTTCTTATACTAGGAATTCATCCTGGAAGAAAACACAGATTTTTAACTGGCTTTTTCGTATTTGGTTATACTATCATATCATGTGGTCTCATGAAAAATTGAATTTAATATGTGAATCGCTCATTTAGGAATCCCCAAATTCAAGTCTTATATTTTGTACTAAAAATAAATAAAAAACTTATCAGGCAAACAAAGACTAATGAAATTTGTGAGAAACACAGTGACTCCTGCAAAATAGAATGGGGGTGAGAGCTTTGAACTTCTCAGGTCTTCAGGAGAGCGGATCCATAGAGTTCTCTGGAGTGTGATTCCTGTTCACCAGAGGGCAGCACTGTGACCAGCAAGTCAAGGAGTGAAGGGAACGCTGAGAGGAGAGAAGCTTCTGTGAAGAAGAGTTGGGGAACAAGAGAAAGGGGACAGAGGGAAAAGAAGTCAGACACATGTGGGCATGGATGGGCAGAGAGGTAGAGAATAATGGAAAGAGAAGACGAACGAAGGAAATTATGTTCTGTAAGAAGGCTGACTAATTCACACGCCCTCTGTTTATCCAGTTCATACTTGATGACTGCAAAACTTCTAGGCCCTTTGTCAACAGCCAGGCTGAAATGGATAAGTCTCAGGAAATGTACAGTAGACAAAACTATTTACAAAATGAAGACCTAAAGCAACCTCTCTTGGGCCCATTCCTAGAGTTTCGTCACCTTGTCATTGGAGAATAAAGTCCCTCAATATTATTGAGAAGGTCTGGGACTTTCCATTCGAGAACAATAGCATTCCGTACCCACATAAACCATGGCTGCTGTGATTTGATGAGCAGCCCTCATCAAATTTTCATTGTCCTTCAACTCTATCCTCATTCTCAGCCTTTGTTTATGTTCCTACCTGAGCCACAGTGTTCAAGACCAGTAGGAACTTCCTGAGTGGCCATCTCATCCCAGAAGGGGTAGCAAGCTCTTTGCGGGTAATAATTGGACTGGAAACCACAGGCCATTCGAGGATCTTCATAAGAGTTGATAGGTCCCTGCCTCTGTGACCAGGGAAAAAAAGAAAATTTATTAAGAAGAAAATCTCTACATTTTAGCCCTAATGGAACAATAACTTCATATCATCCAACCACATATAAGTAGGGATCATCTATAGATGATAACAAAATAGGACCAACTATTGATCACCCACTCCCCCAAAAAAAGCCACAGGGAAGGAGAGGGGTTCCAACTACGTATACACTTATTTTCATCCATTTCTTCAAGCATTTGAGGACTACCTTTTCTGATTTTCAAATAAGGACCCATGGTTAACAATAAGGCAGAATCTTGGTCATCTTTTATACAATCCTGGCTTTTGGTTTTTTATGTTATCTTACTCTGTAAAAACACTGTGAAAGGAAATAGTTACAAGACATTCCAATCTCATAGAACCAATAGATGACAAATGCCAAAGGAGAAACAAAAAATGGACCCACGTAATAAAAATCACTCATTTTTTAGTTAATAAATGTACATAGGTTTTAACAATATGAATGCTAGACAGGAATTTTCAGTTTCTGCCAACATTTGGGGACTTGTGCCACTCTCCCATCAGTTTTATAAAATCCAATAGATATACTATCCACCCAGTACTCTCTAAGGAAAACAAACATGCTGTGTGGGAGGCCGTGTTTTGCCAGGAATAGGGAGGCCTATTCCTTGAAGCCAAGGATACATGGACTCAAATCCTGGCTCCACCACTTACTCATGGGAGGCCTGGGCCTGTTCCTTCATCTAAACCTCAGTTTACTCAGTTGTAAGATGGGAATAATGATACCTACCGCATCAGATAGGAGGATTAAATGAAATAATATGTGTAAGACAATAATATATAAAGCAAAATAAGACATAAAATGCATGTAATAAAATTATATATTATATAAAATGCATGTAATAAATAGTGTATGTGAAGCCTAATATAAGGTAGGTATTATTTTAATACAAGAAACCCCTAACATTCCTGGGATTGGACAATAGAGTTAAAAATTAAAACATAAAAGAAGAAGCAGTAGATTTATGGAAAGAAGATTTCCTGAGAATAGGAGTCTAATCTACATTGACCCCTCCTCAACTTTTTTTCTTTTTTATTCTTTCTCTCTTCTCTTATGGCCCCTCCACCTTCATAAAAACCCCAATTAAGAAAATTAAACTCTGCTAGAATTTGATGTGATTAAATCTATTGATGTTAAGGTGTTAATTAATAAGCGTCACTCCTCAGGTGGTATTCTCATCCCTAGAGAGTAGCTCGCTAACCCCCAGTAAGATCCTCTAATTGGAGAGCCTCTTATGCTCTCTCTCCCCTCGAGCTGCAGTACAAGAACTCAGCACGATTACACTAGATCCAATTATTCTCTATCTACACTCTCTTCACCGTTTTGCAATTGTCCATTCACTTAAGCTCAGTAAAAATAAGAGAAGAGAGTATATTGCCACAGAGAAAAAGGAAAATTAAACCCAAAATATAGAAAGAGGTTTTCTACACATTAATTTGGACCAAATTTTCCATAAAATTCGTAAAATCATTCAAACTAGGGCTGATGAAGTTTACTTTGGGATGTTCACCCCCCAACTGGGCTAAAGGTCCTGAGAATGTAATGACACCCTTAGGACTGAAGGGAGTCGCCTTGAGTGTTTGTCTGTCAGAAGCTAACATCCCTGGCCTTCTGCCACCAGGAGGCCCTGGTGAGAACCAGGGAATACAAATAGGCAATGGCAGTTCTGCTGGCTATTTGTTTTTGAGACTATCAGATTTAGGGGAATCATCAGCAAGAACTCTCTATCAAGCTTCAGTCAGAAAACGTTTCCTTAATTCTAGGTTAAAACCATTTTGCTGATATTGTATTTTAATATTGTAAGCTTCTGAAACAACTATATTAAGGTTTTCTTTTGCATCCCAAGGATTAGTAGGTCTTCAATAATACTTTGCAATGGAATCAATTTGAAACACATTTCCTAGACTAGCTGTGTGCTCTCAATGTCTATCCCCATCTTTTCATATTGTTTCAGAGTCTTTCTCAAAATTCAATGTCAAGTATCAGAGTTGTAGGAATAGGGTCTTTTTCTTCTTCTTCTTTTTTTTTTTTTTGTGAGGAAGATCAGCCCTGAGCTAACATCCATGCTAATCCTCTTCTTTTTGCTGAGGAAGACCAGCTCTGAGCTAACATCTATTGCCAATCCTCCTCCTTTTTCTCCCCCCCAAAGCCCCAGTACATAGTTGTACGTCATAGTTGCACATCCTTCTAGTTGCTGTATGTGGGACGTGGCCTCAGCATGGCCGGAGAAGCCCCAAACCAGGGCCACCAGTAGCGGAGCGCACACACTTAACTGCTAAGCCACGGGGCTGGCCAGGAATAGGATCTTGAGCGAGGACAGTTTGATTCTAAATGGTTCTCTAAGGAGAACTCTAAGTTGCTTGGCACTGCCTTCTTTTGGGCCAGTGTGTGCATGGTTTGCCTGAGCCAGATCCTTCTAAGATGGCAGTAGGCAGCAAAGGTAGGATCCTTGTACGCAGGTAGGGGGTAGTTACTAGGGTGGTGGGAACAAAGGAGAACTTGAATTCAGGTTTAAAGTTTACGCTTTCTCTGCTAAGGAAAGGCCACTGAAGGCCAGGTGTAGTGTGCAAAGAGGTGTTGAAGGAAAATGATCTGGATATAACGTATAGGGGAGAGACAGAAGGCAGAAAGAGCAGTTAGTATGCGAGGGATAAAGCGATGAGGTTCCAGACCTGGGCAATGACACATAGCTGTATGGTGAGTCAACTCACAGCCTGTGAGCAACAGCCACACGCAACATCAGCCTGAGTTTTTGTGGTTGGCTTTTTTTGTAAAGTCTCTCCTGCCCTCAAACCAGGCTCTTTGTTGTCAGGGATAGTTCATTTATTATTTTATAAGTGGAACTCTATTTTTAAGACATATTTCCTCTTTAGGTGTCCTCAGTGGAGCCAGAGGACCCTATTTTTAAGAATGAGAAGGAGACTATGCACCAGGCCTACCATGAAATACAAACGTCTTTGCTGGCAGATGCTCCTGGAAGCAACATGACTCTTGTTACCTAGACACCTGCCTGTTTATTAGACATTTCACAAACTGACTTAATACCTATTTCATAGAGTATGAAAATGACATTTTTACTCAAAAGAACCACATAGCCAGTTCCAATTCATTATGAAACTGTCTCAGTTGAAGAGAAAGAAGCAGGTTATTAACAGGTCAGAAATCTGGGTAGCACAGCCCCCACCTCATTGTTTGAAAAGGGCACCACCCAAAACAAGTTTGAGTCTCTTCGTGGACACCTTCCTTTCCTCTCTGCACCTGGGGGTAAGTTCATGAGATGCAAGCAACACTCTCAGTCCCTGTCACAGTTGTAAGGAAAACTTCTGACAGGTCCTCACTCATTCATCCCACAGATGATCACTGAAAGGAACTAATGTATCGCACATCCACTCCAACCCAGTTGTTTGCGCTAAGCGTTTTGCAGAGATGGTCACATTTAATCTTCACCACAGTCGTGAAAGATCAGTATTTTTATCTCCACTTTACAGAAGAACAAACTGAGGCTTTAAGAGGGCAAGTAAATTTCCAAAGGCCACACAGCTAATAAAATAATGGAGAGAGAATTTTAACTCAGGTCAAGTTGATTTCAGACATCCTTTTCGCCTACCTGTGCAACATGAAGGTTGTGTGGCTCTAGTACAGATTGCTCGAGAAGGGTGACTGCTGCCCCATGGTGAGTACTAGATGAATTATGGATGTGCATTTATAGACAAATCTATACCATGCACCTGGTCTATACGAAGTATTATGTTAGATGCTAAGAATACAATATGAGCAAGAAATGAACTTTACCCTTCAGAGCATACAGACAAGTAAACAGGAAATTACAGCGAGAGGATGTGACAGGGTTAAGTACCGATGTGCAGGGGGGAGGGGAGCAGCAGCAGGTAAGGCTTCCTGGAGGAAGCAGATTAAGGTAATAACTGAAAGGTTGAGTAAGATTTAGCCTAGAACATTTGGTGAAGGGCCTAGAGAGCAAACGAAGAAGATGATGACACACCTAAAGTTGAAAAGGAACATGTATAACTATGTAAGGAAAAATAAGAAAGATTCAAATAGGTGATATAGAGAGATAAAGACTGTGTTGTTTGAGGGTGACAAGTATGAGGGAAAGGTGTATTCTTGGGCAGTGAGGATGCTTGTAATGGAGAGTAATTAGTAAGAATTAAAGCTGGAGGGACAGGGTAACCTCATAGTGTTGAGGGCCGTGAATACCAGACAGGAATTTGGCTTCAAGAGAAAAGCATTAGAGGTTGTATTAGAGGTAGTGACATGGAGAGTGAATTGTTCTAGAAAGACTCGTTTGATCATAGGATGGATGGGGCAGAAGCAGAAGCTGAGGAAGTTGATACAGGCAGTAGCAGTGCCCTACAGAGCCATAATGGAGACAGAGGCAAAAAGGAAACATCAGTACTACTAATCCTAACTTTACTTAAAATTTTTATTTTTATAATAAGTTTTTCATTAATTTTGATTTTTACATATATTGCAGTAAGATATTATTTAGCTTGACTCCTGACATATGGGGCACCCCTTAAGTTTTGCACCCACATGAGGCTTCACTCATTTCACCCTAGTTCCAGTGCTGAGCACCGAGTAGTCCAGCTATGAAGAAATTGCTGGATTAGGGTCATGAGTGTAGAGATGAAGAGGAAACAAGAAATATAACCTATGTCTCAAAGAAAGAATCAGCATGATCGCATGACTGACAAGAGATGAAGAGAACGGGGGAAATCCAAGATAACACTTAGATTGCTTGCTTGTCTAACAGTACAAATGGTGAGTTTAAGTACATAAATAAAGAGGGTGAAAGACAATTTCACTTCTGGTTGGGTTTAGATGGAATGATGGCAGAGCAACTTGGTGGAGGGGTCCTGAAGGTGGCTGCATGATAGGAAAAGACAGGAAAGGATAAAGTTAGATCTAGAAGCATGAAGCATCTAGTTAGA